CATGACGCTTCGCTGGTTGAAGTAGCCTTTCACAACTCCCCTTTTACTTAACAAATAGAGAAGCCTTGCTCTAGCCGCTTCCTGCGTGCTTTATAACAGAACAGAGCACAGTCAAGGCTTCTCTATTTGTTTTCTAATAAAGAATCCATTAAATTCCCCGAGCATTACTTTCAATTTTCAAAACAAACTTTATTTCCAAAGCTAAGAACAGTGTCGTAAGCATGCTCTATACTCTTATAAAGCACGCTACAATAAGCCAATCAGAATCCTTGTTAGAATGGTTCAAATAATCTGATTGGCTGTACAAGACTAAAGCTGTCAAAAGTGTCAAACCATCAAAGTTAAAAAACCATCAAAGTTCAATAATGGTAATAGGACCTAGTGGAGTCCAATATTCCAAGTGGAGTCCAAACTAGACATCTGTTATACATTTCGTTAACAAAACATCAGTTAACTCGTCGAAATGCGAGACAACAGCGCGCGCCCATGACGCGTTCTGTCCATTTACATGTGTCCACGTACACGTGTTCACTTTCTCTTTAACTGTCGCATTAAATGTCCTATTACACTGTCCAATTACAAGCATGACACGTACACTTTCCTATCAGTGTTCAAATCGGACTGGTTATAACCAAACGCGTTCGAGAATTTTGTTGTAGTTTTGACTAGTTCGGGATTTACTTGTTACATTAAACCGAGACACTTGCACGAAGTCATGTTTAATGCCGAATTTCATTTCTTATTTTTGTATTCAAAACAGGAGCCGTTAAGTGCCGCTCGCATGCTAACATTATCTTGTTGTTTAATGCTTTCTAAAAGTAAAGATTTAAAACTGCGGTCCCTTAAAGGATGGTGCACAGACACAACTGATAACATAATCAGCTTGGATTAATCGCAGATCCGCCTAAAAAAAGGGGTAAATGACATAAAAGTCGACGGATCCATTAAAAGATACTTGGCAAGGTCGCAGTCAAAAGGTATTACTACAAAGAGGGAATTTTCGTTGACATTCAGAGAACAAACGATTAAGAAAAATTTCAGAGAAGGAGAGACAATAAAATATTACTTATTACCCCACAGAGTTTAGGCGGAACTATTCAGATCATGTAAGACAAGTAACTCTTTCTCTCTTTAAGTCTTTAAAACTATTTCATAAGTTAGGGCTCAATAAATAATTTGATTGAAGGCTTATCTACCTGCATATGGATTGGCTCGTCGTCTCCCTAGAGCGGCCTTTTATAATAAAGATGTTAAAATTTTGGGAGATTGCATATGCCGAGCCCTTGTTAGCCCCTCAGCGGTGGCGTGGGTTAGTGTAACAGGGAGCTGCTTGACAGAATCAGAGTTTGAGGTTAAGACGTGTCTTGATAAAAGTTATTTTAGGTGATTTTCGTGGTCGGTTGTGGAGCAAGAGTGTGATCCAGCACTTACAAACAACCCTTCTTCTCCTGAAATCCGACCACCCCCCTTATTTCCCTTTATAGGAAGTTATCCTAATCTAGGGTATTTCAATAAATATGCAAAGGAAAAGTGCTATTTGAGTTACAAGTCTTAATTCGTTTTTAGAAATTTTGTTTGCATTTGTTTTCACTTCCTAACCGTTGCTTTCTTTGCGTAAACGATCGGAATGTAAAAAAAGGAAATAGAGGCTACTAGTTGGCTTCCTCAGTATCTTTTGTATTTTGGGTATTCATGGTTATCTGACTCTATCCATTCGCTTTACACTTGCATTATGGTGGTAAGAACTAATTGCGAAAAGTATGGGATTCATAATGTATTCTGAACTTTTCTACCACGAATCGAAAGGAGAGATGTAAATCAGTTACTGTTTTCAGAGATTTCAGTTAATGATATGTTTATTTTTTGTGCTAGAGTTATAATTTCTCAAAAGTCATGTCACAACTTTCAGTGTCTAATCATGATGACTAATTGACTCGCGCAGTGCCCGGTGGCTAGGGAGAAGGACAATTCTTCGGAAAGGGTTGTAAGTAGCTACTAGCATTATTAGCAAGTGAAGGTATTCCTGAAAAAACTAACGTTTTGAATATCATTAATTATAATGGATATCATTATAGATAACCTTTAGTATCTTGTGAAGAATCTTATCTCTCCCAAATATTTTATTGACACGGGAAAATAAGTATTAAGCCGTTCTCAAGGCCCTTTTCATCCCAGCGTTCCCTTTGGTTGCTTCTATCCCGTAAAACTCAGAAGATGAGAACCGATAGCTTAAAAGAAATGATATCCAACCGCTGGAGCTGTTACAGTACTTACTTGTAAGAAGTGTGAAACTGGCACCTGTGATAACCGCCTCCTTTGAGAAGTAGGAACATGGTCACATCACCTCTCAATATGTTGTTGGAGACGGTCATTTTCTCAAAGGAAGGGTCCCAGCCAATTGTCTTCTTTCCCATTATGGGTCCGTTGGCGGGAAAGTTTACGCCATGAAACATGGATTTTTGAGTAAATAAATTACCCTCAAGACTGTAAAAATTAACAGAAATTTGAGATATCAATAATAAAAATGGAAAATTACCCTTGTATCTGTGTCACATACCTAGAGTACAATTTACCTTGGAGAATAATGCGTTAGCGCCTTTTATTTTTGAGATTTTGCCATTTCCGTTAGGATGTTTTCCAAATTAAACCCATTTTCCCACAGATGCCTTTTTTAAAATACACTTGTCTGAATATTATCTGGTCACTATGCTTTTTTTGTAGTTTTGTTCCCCTGTAGGTAGACAGGAAGCGTTCTTGGGAGAATCACAACTAAGTTATACTAAATGGCGCGGCCTGCTCCGTGTAAAAAATGCTCTTGAAGATTTCTTTTAAAGAGTATTATCTTAATCCTACACTACACATCACTTTTATACCTAATGTGTCCACTGGCTGCGGCAACTCCTCCATCCTCAAATGTAAATGCCCTTTCATACGACATTCCAGCAGGAAAGGCTTGCTTGAAGTAGTCGGGCATGCCCTCAGGATAATTCGTGAAGCACCTATTTCCATATTTGAACGCTGACGACAGTGTGTCAAAGGAAAATGGAAGGGGTCCTCCCTTGGTGACACGAAAAGTAGATTTCCTTTAGAATAAGATGATAAGAGTGTTGGAAATTATTTCAGAAACAGCTCATGTATGCCCTGAAACACAGGAAAATTAGGAAGACCAAATATTTTATGCTCGTGATAATTCAAACTTAAGTCATATACTGCATAAACTTTCATGTTAAGTTGTAAGAAATTAAAGTATTACAAATGAATTTAGCTGTGAATGAGCTTTTACAGGATAATTTGCAGTAGCCTTTACACTTCGGCTGATTCTGGAAGCAGATGAAGGAGCCGATGTCATAGGCAGTTGGTAATTTGCAAACGCGAATAAAAACAAGCTCCTAGTTCATGACTGAAAATCTTCTTATGAATCTTTGATCTTGATCACTTTGCGTTTTTAAAAAAGTCTTTATTCACTTTGGTAATTTCTCAAAATCATTGATACCGTGACATCAGGCCTTATTTGACGTCTGCAATGTGATCTTATTCACCTCTGTGTTAAACACTAAATTGTAATGCATAATAATGAAATAATTCATCGTGGTCTGTCTTTTAAGACAGACTTACTCGTAAGGCTTTCCTTTTCCTTCACCTTCAAACTCAAAGTAATGTCCATCGACACTACCCTTCATTTCAAATTTCATATATATTCATATCTTATGGAATGACCTGAATAAGTAAAAAGGAAAGAAACGATTATTTTCTACTGACAATGATATCTTTCAAAGACCCTAATTGGTTTTAATTTGTCAGCGCATTACTTGCTCACTATCTGAAACGATAAAATATAAATGATCGTTTTCTACTATTAAGATACAGCTTACGCCATATCAAATTAACACAGTGCGCCTCACACCATTTGGCTCTACACATAATTGTCCTTCTCTTTGACTTTCTTTTACAATATTTCCTTGCGCTGCAATATTTCATCGCGTCAGAAACAAACACTGGACTGGATTTAGCTTCAAGGTGAGTTGGAAGGTTGAGGACATGCGGAATAAATTAAATAAGCCATAACTGACACATGCAGACAGGTTAATTAGTATAGCGACCCTCAACGACGGCATTTTTCTGTCTGTGGTTTGTGGAGCATGTATCTGTTTCAGTAACTTTTTAAACTAGCGAAATAAAGCGCTTAAGTTTATTTTAACATTTATATTTTGCATGGTAGAATTTATGTCGGCGTGGTGTTATTACAGAGATGGGCTCGTCTACTGAATGGCCAGACTTAACTTATCACCAGGACGGGGGGGGGGAAGGGATAATTTTATTTTTAGGGGGAGAGGGGGGGGGGGGGGTTCTCAGCGTTCTCCTTATCAGGCGGTAACCGGTAAAATTTACCGCTTGTAAGAGCACTTATTACCGCCTGAAAACGCTCAGAACCCTTAAAAAATACGCTGTTATGGTGAGCTAATCTGGTAAGAAAGTGTAATAACAAGCCAAAAGTGTGCACTATCATAGGTATACGTGTGCTTTAGTTAGCTAACACTTACTGGTACCTTTGGAATTTCGAAGCAAGAGTGATTTTTCGCAGGCTTTCATGACATTTGGCAGTTCTCTGCACGTGAAAATGTGGTGTCGTTTAGTTGTTCAGTTTCCAAGATGAAACGGCAGCAAACAATGCTGTCGTTTCTGTCCAGTAACAAGAGGTCACGAAGAGTGGCTGGTAAGCTTTACAAGAGCTTTAGGGGTTAACAAAACAAAGGCTACGTACTAGCGATGGAAAAGCAGTCAATTACCAAAAATAAGTGCCTTGACAGCTCTACAATCGCCAGCTGTATAACGAACACGTAGGGACAAAGGTAGTCTTCATCGTGAAATTCTTCTTAAAATGTGTTTCAGACAACGGTTTGAAAGAAGCTTTGAAAATAAAATCTCTCGACAGCGTAAAAGTTCTGAATTTGCAACGATTAGAACACAAATTCAGCTATTCGATGTGATTCGATTTCATAGCAATCCGATTTGTAGCTGACACCGCTGATTTTCCAGCGATATGCCATGTAAGTGACGCCAAAGATATTACCCGAAATCGAAGGGAGACCAGTTTACGTTATAAGCAGTTTGGAAAGGGCATAGTCAAATATAATGCTTTCAAACAATTTTTTACTTTGTTTTGTTCAATCTCTGAACCTAAAGGTATATCGTTCACATTATGAATTTTTCGATGGAGAATTTTTGATAGGCGCGATGTACTGTATGCTTTAGGAAATGACGAAGTTGAGAATGACCAGCCGCCTGAAGCTGAAAATGTGCTTTACTGGTTTGAAAAGGTCCCTTACCTGTTGTGCTGAAAACTAGGGAGAACCCTGATCATGTGATATTTAACAATTGGTTCATGCTTAGTGCGCGTGTATTTGTAACTTTAACTTTCAGTAAAATTTAAGGGATGTTTCAAATCATGTAATATAATAGTAATCATTCGATTCCATTTTGTTAGATTTATAACTGCTTATAGCAATTTGTTGGTTAGTAATCTATTTTGTCACACGAAGGTGCACTAATGAGTGATTGTAATCAAATTTAATTTCCTCTTTTAATTAAAACATCAGTTGGACAAAGCACTATTTAATTAGTCAATGCTTTGCTAGAGTCGAGGTGAAAAACAAATAAAAAATAAAGAGACGGAGAGACCCTCGAGGGCGGTACACGGACACAAACGATTACATAATCAGATGGTTTGGTTTTATCAACTGAGTTGACAACGTGACTTGGCTGACGAAGGACTAACGCTCGAAACGTCATCTTTATAGAGAATTTAGCTCCGTAAAGTAAGCCTCAACGATGAACAGGTAACCAATACTGTAACTTGAGATGTCCGATCGCCTTTACTCTTCACGTCAGCTAAGGTCAACTATGTTTTTTTTTAAATTATGAAATCAATCGTTTAATTTAAGTGAAGCAGATGTTTACTTGGTCTTACAAATCAATCCTTTGTTCAACCGACAAAAAGGGCAAGAACAATTGCCGCTTCCAGACCTATGTTAAATAACAAACTTAAAAAAGTTCGTCTGTTGCTTTGTTGTATATGACCGTATAGGTACATCACATTGTTTTTCTGTGATTTTGTTAAGTCTGGTTATAAATTTCCCTTTGGATTGGAAGCAGCGTTGACTATTTTCCTTTTTTACTTAAAAGTATTTAACACCGTAAAGCAGGCCTCAACAATGAACATGTAACGAATATTGTAGCTTGAAATGACCGACCGCCTTACTCCCTTAAATTTCTCTAGTGCCAGGGCTAAAGTCAGAGTTTCACGATGCGTAGTTTTGATAATTTGTGTAAAAGAATAACAGAACTGACATAAATTGCGTCAAAACGGTGTTTCAAAAGTTCAGGGGAACCATTCTTTTCACTAATTTCAGTCATCTTTGCCAAGTCTGGTTATAAATTTTGGTAAGTCTTGTTATAAATCTAGTTAAAACCCTTGGATGAAAAGCAACTTTCAGATCCAAGTTGGATAACAGATAGAGAAAAGGAATATAATTATTTTTTGATTTTATATCCAAATAGCGTGAAATTATTCACTGTCTCTAAAATTAAAAATTGTTTTGTGTTTAGGAATAATGTACATGTGTGCTTTTTGGTTCACATCCATTAAAATAATCTTTTCAGACCAAAACCTTAAATAATTCTTTCTTAAATTTTGAGTTGAATTGATTTTGGTAAGCAGGAGATAATGTGAAGTTAGTCCAGCGCGGATGAAGACTGCTGGAATGTTCTTTCCTTAACCGAAATTTCAATTTAATTGATCAGTGGTGTGGAGGTCGGCTGAGGGATAGGTTTGAGTTGTTCGAGCCCGGAAAAAGCTGGGAAAGGAATATTGCTGCTGATGCAATAGGTCAACGGCCTTTGTTGCTCTCTTGAGGAGGAACTGTAAAGCGAACTCTTGTACTTAAGGGGGCCGTGTTCCGGTTCTACCGCGAATTCGTGTTCGTAATAGCGGAGTGCAAGACAAGGTTTATGCAATCGTAGCAAATTTTTTCGTTGAACCAGTTGCAGAACTTTAAATTTTGCATATTCAAGAGCGTCATAACTTTATAAACACAGAGCCTAGGAATGTAATCTGATTATTTCTTATGGAGAGTTTGCGGTAACTGATCATGAATCTGCTTGTACCCTTAATAATAATTTTAAAAAAAATTCCTCTGGAACGCCCTGCTTTAATTTTCGGCTTTGTTAGGTTAAATAAAGTCATATCCAGTTTCAAAGGGAGTATTGTAGTCGTTCTATGCTTCTTAGCCGTTGTGAAGTATAAAAGCGTGTGCTTGACATTTTTAACTCATGGATTGCGCGCATGCGCAAGAGCGAGTTGTAGATATAATGTGGCAAATGGTGCTCGCTCGCTCGCTCGCTCGATGTGTTGATTCCTGTAAACTTTTTGTCGATTTTAGGCTTTTGAGTGCATTTGATAGTTTTTGGCGAGTAATAAGCAAACGAAATGGCGACCTTTGTTGCTAAGAATTGTTGTGGGGTGTGAAAAAGAAGCCAATGATAATCTTAAAAGAGTTTATATTTATTCGTTTTGGTTTCAACAAGCGGCGCCAGCGAGGATTCATTCTGAAATAAGAGAACAACCTTCTTTTTTCATAAAATTGTAATTTACAGTCCTTGAACCTGAAAACAATCCAAAGATTCATTAAAAATATCACTCACTCGGAAGCGCTCGGAGTTTACAGATGTTCAAAAGCTTTTTCTGTTATGGCGTGAGATTGGGGACAAAATCGATCATTATATTTCGTATCGTGTGTTTTTTCTGTGTGAAGCAACAAAAGGTGCCGGCGGCTGACGGAATTACAGGATAACACGAAAATAAACAAATAATTTTGGCTACCGATTTTCAGTGAATTTATAAAGAACAATTTTCTTCTAAGTTTAAAGACAGTTTGAAGATCCAAAATAAATATTACGTACTAAAATGCGAAAGTTATACACCACAAAATTGATAAATAGGCCTGAAATGAAATTCTATCTTGTTCTTGATTATATGTTGCCTAGCACGTGACCAAAATCTACCCAGACGGAAATCCAGAATGACGGTGGCAGTCTGGGCTTAGTTATATCACTCAAAAGTCGTTCCCGTGTTTCTCATTTGATAAAGAGGGAAACATTAATGTTTTCATTAAGACAATATATCCTTGATTTTCCAGTGACAACCAGTAAATTTCACTTTCCACCCACATTTACTTCCAACCTTTTCATTTGAACCAGAAACAAAAATGATATATGTTTAAAACACATGACATCATCCACCC